AATGTTCTAGAAAGCACATGTCTGCACCACTCAGCAGAGCAGCTCAAAGCACCGAAGTCTAGTATAAGGGCATCTCAGATGCTGGCATCCCAGCCTTTGAAGTGTCCATAATTTATACCAAGGTATAACTAAGTGTTGGTATTATACAGAAGAGAGGTTACTGAAACTCCACTCAGCAGAGCAGCTCAAAGCACCGAAGTCTAGTATAAGGGCATCTCAGCCTTTGAAGTGTCCATAATTTATACCAAGGTATAACTGAGTAAGTGTTGGTATTATACAGAAGAGAGGTTACTGAAACCGAGTTTGTAGGAGAGAAAAGCTGGAAGGAACATGAATCCGGTGATCTATAAACTACTTAGCTTCCAATGGTAGGGGCATTATAGTTTGGATGTGGACTGTCCCCACAGGTTCTTGTGTTTCAAACGTTGGTCCCCAGCTAGGAGCCTGCTTTGAAGGTTGTAGAACCTTTTGGACATGCAATTTAGCTGGCAGATGAAGGACCACAGGGGTAAGGCTTACAGGTCAGGACCAGCCCTGGGCTGCCCTAGCTGTCTGCTTCCTGGTTGGAGTCACACTAAGCAGCAGCTGCGTCCCCTTACCACACCTTCCCTGACATGATGGACTGCGTCTCCCCAAACCAGGAGCCAATACGAAAGCCTATTCCCTCATGTTTTTGTTGTTGGGCATTCCATCACAATGACAGGAATCTTGGCCCTGTCTAGTGTGAACTCCCACAGGAAGCTTTTCTGAACTACGTCTGTGTGGGTCTCACTCTCACTGTGCTCAGGCCTGCCCCCTCACACTTGCCTGCTTGATCTGAGTCTGCACTGTAGACCCCTTAGGAACATGGAACATGGCTCCCCTTTGGTAGAGCCTTTGATTTTAGGTGTCACAACCTCTCAATGCCACAGAGCTGACGCCTGAGCTGGGCTTTAGGGACAATCAGGTGAGCAAGTGTGAAGGAATGCCAGGTTGCAACAGCTGACACACTTATCTAGTAGGGGCCATGGAGTGGCTGGAAGGACAGACTTCCTGGAGACAGCACAGCAGAGCTGCTTCTCTTCCTGAAGACAAACCTGTTGGTCACTTCCAACTTATACAACATCACCTTTCTCAAACCAAACTTCCCTCGGGACATCTACCCCGACATCCTAGCTAACACCCAATTTGAGCCTGCATTTCCTCCTAGCATACTAAGCATACAGACCTCAGTCATGGTTTTGCTTTCTGTAATTTTGTTACCAGTGGTCAAGGGCAGGCCACCCTTTCTTAAACACAAACCCTATACATGCGTTTCCTAAGAGTCCAGGACAGTGTCTGGGACCCAGGAAGCATCATCAATATGCTGCCAAGAACGGACAGACTTAAAACATGCAAATGCAGTCCACAGCTTTCTGAAAGAATGCTTTCAGTGTGGACCTGCAAACAGCTAAGGGTGGAGGGAAACATGGTGGAAAGTGAGAACTCCCAGCTGGCAAGGCACAGTCTTTAATCACCTGCAGGATGGCTGAGAGCCTGCACACTTACAAAGTGCTGCCTGAGCACCGGGGTGCCCGCCCGCATCAGTGCGATCTAAGAGCCCTCCTTTCCATCAGGCAAGAGGAAGATGATGAGCAGATGTCCACATGCACACAGGGCAGCTCAAGACACCAGGAACTGATACTGCCTGTGCCCCAGGCAGTCCACCATTCCTGTGTCCTGCCCTTCCTCCCTCTCCTACTGGTCCTCTGAACTCACACTCACGAGGTGGTCCTCAGCTGCCTCCAGACAGGAGACAGGAAAGAAAGGCCTCTTGAGAAAGGGTCTTTATAGAACAGGCTTCTTCACCACTCAAGCCCAAAAGATCAGGTTAAATTTTTCCAGATTTTAAGAGTAACCTGTTACAGTTATTGTTTGTAACTTTGTAAAAATTCCTACATGGACTTTTAGATCAACTACTGGGGGCGTATTTTCATACTGAATTAATCCTAATCTCAATTAAAAAGATAAATTTAGCTGGGCGTGGTGGCGCACGGCTTTAATCCCAGCACTTGGCAGAGGCAGGCGGATCTCTGTGAGTTCAGCCTGTCTACACAGAGAAATCCAGGCCAGCTGGGACTACAGGGAGACCATCTCAAAAGCACCAAAAAAAAAAAAAAAGATAAACTTAAAAATTAAAATTGAGGGGAGGGGGACTACAATTTGCTATAATGGTTTCCTGAAGAGATGCTAAAACACTTTGCTTACACTGGTATTCAGGCACAGCCATGCTCCAACACCTGTCTCCATCCTGGTAAAATCAAGAAATTCAACTGCTTCTTAGCCAGAGATCTGCTGAATAGGGCCAAATGGGAACTGGGGACAGGGCTGAGCACCAAGCTGCACACAGGCCCACATTTGCCTAGTACTTATTAACCATCCATTTCTCTCAGGTATGAAAACCATCCAATAAGGACTTGAATATTTTAGTATATTCAAGAAGGTTCCACAAATAGGACCTTTTCAATTGCACAACTACACAATAAGGAAGTCTGTGATCTAGGTTTCTGAAGTGAACACCAGGTCTACAGAGACCACAGAAAACCCAAACTGAAGAAAACCTCAGCCAGTGTCTAGGTTTCTGAAGTGAACACCAGGTCTACAGAGACCACAGAAAACCCAAATGAAGAAAACCTCAGCCAGTGTGGTGGCGCATGACTTTAATCCCAGCACTCAGGAGGCAGAGGCAGGTGGATCTCGGTGAGTTTGAGGCCAGCCTGGTCTACATAGCAAGTTCCAGGCCAGCTGGAGCTACAAGAAGACCCTGCCTCAAAAATACAAAAAAAAGAAAAAAAAAAAAAAAAAAAAAAAAAAAAAAAAAAAAAACAATTTCTGAGGTAAGTCTGAGATGTCACTTGACCACAAATGTAAATTGCAAAGCCTCTTGTTTGAGACTGCCATCGGGGACCCAGTCAGAAACCTGTGAACATAAATCTACCAGTTTCTGGATGTCATATTTTAAATAAAATTATTTCAGTAGGCATTATTAATCTTGCCTAAGATTGGGAAGAACAAAATTGGGAACATCAAAAAAATCCAAAATTTTAATAACAAGATCTTCTATGAAGTTCCAAAAGTCCATGGTGATGGTCATGGAGCCACAAGACAGGACAGAGGCTGAACACTACACAGTCCAAAAGACTCCTCCAGTCACATTCACTCTTTGACTAATTTAATTCTTGCTTTTAGGTCCCACTGAGTACAGGAAGCAAATGTCTGCCTAACTAATCAGAGCCAAGGGCTTAATAATTCAATGTCTTCTAAGAAAAAAAAAAAATCTTTAAGGAAAATGCTAAGTTTTGGTAGGCTTCCCTGATGAGCAGTCCAGTAAGAACTCTGCACAGTTCCAGAGGTCACGGGAGAAATTCTGAGCACCGCACACCAGAGCAGAGATCCCGGAGACTCCTCTGAATGTCTTGGTGACAAGAACCCACTGGGTTCTGGGGAGATGGCTTAGCAGTTATGGAGAACACTGGCTGCTCTTGCAGACAACCCCAGTTCAGTTCCCAACACCCACACTAGACAGCTCACAACTGCCTGTACCTCCAGCTCCTGGGGAACTGATACCTCTGTGATCTCTGAGGGCACACACGTTAAGAAAAAAACAAAAATAAATCTAAAGAAAAGAACCCGCTGAAGAAGTGCCCGCCTCCTGGACACACTACACATAAAACACTTAGCACAGCGGCTGCCCCGTAAGTCGGCACTATTCTCCTTAAATTTTTTCCAAAAAATGCCATTACACTAGGGCGACGAAGATGACTTCGCAGCTCAAAAAAACCATCATGGACGCATTAGTGCCTCCTGCAATGCGTTTTGGCCCAATTCCTTGGAGCTAATTAATGAGTAGTCGGCCATTACACTAGGGCGACGAAGATGACTTCGCAGCTCAAAAAAACCATCACGGACGCATTAGTGCCTCCTGCAGTGCGTTTTGGCCCAATTCCTTGGAGCTAATTAATGAGTAGTCCAGCTAAACAAGACGACGGCACACAAAGTGAACCTTATATCTGGTACTACAGGTAAGGAGAAATAAGCACATCATTTTTGGTCAGTTTTTGGCATATACTTTATTGTTATCAGGGACGAATATTTTGCAGTTTAAATAAAAAATCAGGGCCAGCAAGATGGCTCAGTGGGGTAAAAGCACTTGCCACACAAATCTGACAACCTCAAGTCCAATTCCTGAAACCAATGAGGGAGAAAACTGACTCCTAAAAGTTGTCCCAACTGCCACATACGGCTGTAGAATGCATGTATGTGCACGTGCACATACATATACGTACACATTCTCACTCAGTATTAATAATCCACAAGGTAGTATGATTTCCTGAAATGCTGTGTTGTAATGGATCTGCATTACCTGAATTTTCAGTTGAATTTTTCATATAGCTTTTGGTAATTTGAGAGATCTCCAGAAAGTTCTTGGCCAAGTATGAGCTCAAACAGGATGACACTAGCTCTTAACTGTTATTGTCTCAAAATTTTAAAATAATGACTCCCATTATACAGCAATGCTGAGGTATTAATAAAAATTTCCCTGAATGTCCTGAGACACCCTGATTAGGGACCCACAAGCACGGGATAAGCAGAATCAGACGGTCCTTCAGGAAGAACTGAGGCAACAGGCCAACATCCATCATACAATCCTAGGACATGGCAGATTTCATGCTTTTGACTTCACAGACCAATGAGAAAAATTTAAAGCATCTTTAGAAGCTGGGCTTGGTAGTGCACCACTTTAATCCCAGCACTGGGGAGGCAGAGGCCAGCCTGGTCTACATACTGAGTTCCAGGCCAGCCAGGGCTGCATAGTGAGACCATCTCAAAAAAATATATAGTATCTTTAGAAAACTCAAGAGCATAAACTTTTAATTTTATGAAACAGGAGAGAAGAACATACATTTTGTTTTTATTTTTTGAGAACTGTTGGCCTAGAATTCACCATGTAGCCCAGACAGGCCTTTAACTAGTCTTCTGAGTGCTGGTACTGACAGCTGTGAGCAGATTAGAATCTTTTCTAAAAAATTAATTTTTTATGCGTATGAATGCCTTGCCTGCATGCAAGTACACTGATGTGATGCAACACCTGAAACCGGATTAAGTAAGGTTGTTAGCCATCACGTTAGTGCCGGGGACTGAACTCTAGTCCTCTGTAAGAGCAGCCGGTGCTCTTAACTGCTAAGCCATCTCTCTATCCCCCGGATTAAAATCTTGAAAGATCATCTTATAATTGAAAGTGAGTTTTAACCTGTGCTTCTGGTGCTTGTGAAGCCCACTGACTGGGTTCAGGCCTACAGAATGCAGTATAGACTGCCCACACTACTATTCATCCCAGATGGGGTCTTTCCTCTCTGTTTCAACTACACATCCCATCCAGCCTGACTTACTAACACTGCCTATTGAGTATAAAAGTACTTTACTTGGACAAAGTGTGCTACCTATCCAGAAAAGTTAAGATGCATTTTCGGTGTCCCTAGCACTTAGTAATTACAAAGAGCTCAGAGGCTCTTCCTGGAGAAAACACAGGGACCTGATCACATTTTTACACATGGAAAACACACACGCAACAGCTGCAAACAAAACAGGTGCACATGCACACTCACTCACGCTCTCAAGAGTACAGGAAAAGTAAGCAATTATGCTTTAGCTCTTCTCCAAGATAACTGTAAAGTGTCAGGTTTTAAATAACTGGACCAGTTAATTTTTATTAGCAGAAGCATAAGAAAGTTATTATGCACAGTATACTCTTTCACACAAAACACATTTGAATCATTTCTGAAAAGTCTATGTAAAAAAACTTAAAACCTTAATGTCAGTTTTGAAAAGGTTACATGACTGTTGTACACACCACCAAAGTCAGCATAGGGTCCATATGGATTCATGATTTCTTTTTCTACCCACCAATGGAAAACACAGTCTCCCAGCTACCTTCAGGCCCTAGCAGGCTTCCATGCTCATAAGTCAGCTCCGGGTCTTCCCACTGCCTGAGGCATGCTGGGATCCTCCTGGCCTCAGGAAACCATGGCCAGTTGAAGTTTCCATGGAAACCACAACAGTGGCTAGCACCCTAAAAGACCACTTTCAGACTACAGTGCTGTGAGTGTCACAGAGGCAGGGCTCAGACAACCAAGGCTCCAAGTCTAGAACTGTGTTGGCTTCTGGGCAGGAAGGAAGACGGAGGCAGGAGGTAGCAGGGGATGCGCACAGCATGGTGAGGGGACCCGCCTGTTCGCAGCCGGCGGCAAGCTGACTGTGTGGTACTTCCATCTTGACTTAGGATGAAAGGGTCAAATAGTACTGTGCGGACCTGCTGGAAAGGAAGTGTGATGAGATTACCTGGGAAGGATGATCAGGGAAGACATGGCAGGGGTCTCTCAGGTTCTAGAACCCCATGGGCTCAGTGCTTTCATTTTCTCCACACGTGATCAGCACACTGTCTCTAGGGATATGAAACCATAAGTCCAAAATACCATACTCTCAAAGGAGACACAAAAACACCTTCAAATCCCAGGTAAATGATACCTAACTTACAGTAAGGCTGACTGATCCAGGATCCCTTCCCCCATGGGGTATCAACCATACACGATACAGAAATGCCCTGCACAGGCCAGCCACATTTTGCTGACATTAACCATACATCATATGAGGTTGTCTCGTGTCTATACATCCAAACGCACATGAGAGTCAGACTCACTCCATCAAGAGCCCCAGGATGCTTCACTGAATTGTCACCCGTGGAGGCTCTTCTATTTACTTAGTCCCCCTGGCAGTGCTTCTTCAAACTGCTTGAATTCACCTTCAGAGGGAAGCTGTCACACGCACGGAATCCCGCATGACAGAACAAGGTGACCCGAGTCTCCACAGAAGAGGCGTGCTGTTCAGACGTTCTGAGGAATTCAGCTCCTTAGAGGACACATCAAAACCGTCCATGCAATCAAAACACGGACTGAGGGAGCCTCCTACCCAGACAGTCCACAAGGAACAAAATGAGTTAACTGGAAATCTGGAGTTTTCCTGAAAATGTACTTCAAATTTAAAAGTCACAACAGAATCCTAAAATTTCTAGTCATTATTATATAACTTAAGAACATATTTTACACCAAGAATTTAATATCCTGACATAATGAAAGGTCACACTTAAGGAGAAAACCTTCGTAATAATTGGAAATTTTAGGGCGGAAAAGGTATGCTCACTTTAGAAAGATGGTAATATTCAACTTTTGAAGAAAAAGAAAAACTCCGCCTCCATCAACAGGAAGCAGCAAGTGCCTGACCTCAGGCTCCACTTCTCCCCTTGTCTTTGGGAGTGGCCTTTGCAGAGTCTGGTCCTTTCATCTAATAGGCGCCCAGCCTGTGGCTGCAGTCTGTGTGAAGAGCCAGTGGGTGCCCCTTGAGGCCGGAGGTCCCATCCCTTGGAGCAAGTTACCACTGGTGGAGGGAGAAGAAAGTCGCAGTGAAGGCGTAAGTTCAACGAAGGGGATCCACAGAGCCAGACCACCACAAGCTAAGGTTCCTTCTGGTGCAGGCACTGCACAAAGATGCCTGCGCTGTCCTGCTGGTGCAGGAGCACTGGCTTTCGACGATGTCCATGTGGAGTTTCTGTACAGTTTCCACAATACAACAAACAGGCCATTGTTCTCAGAGTCCCTCTGTTTCAGTGTACCTAACTCACACAGACCTGATTCTCTTTGGGAATGCAATGGACTAGGACGTCAAGTGCGGTGACCTAGGGAAGGACACATTTCTCAGAAGACACACACTGCTCTAATCAGTACAACTGCAACTGAAACAAAATGTGCAGGCAGATTTCAAGCATGATTTTTCAAGCTTGATTCACAAGTTTCTAGGAAGCAGCCAGACACTGACTCTGTTCAGCACCTCATTTCTCTAAAGGGGGACAAGGGAACTCTACTGGTAATAGCTTCTGTAACAATGCAGGTATTTACTTGAAATTAAGTTAACCACTGAGCCACAAACACATTTAGAACACACCAGAATTCAAACTCACCATTAGGAAATGCATCAGTATTTTCAAATATTGACATCATTACTCAAAATATTGTGGCAAGCTACCCACAAAAGCACCAGGATGTCTTCTGTCCAAGACATTTTCATCGCCAAGGATGTGCTCACTTCCCTTAGCGCACTTTAGGTCTACTCTGTGAGGTTCAATCCCCAGTGCACCCCACTTTAGGTCCACTCTGTGAGGTTCAATCCCCAGTGCACCCCACTTTAGGTCCACTGTGAGGTTCAGTCCCCAGTGCACCCCACTTTAGGTCCACTGTGAGGTTCAGTCCCCAGTGCACCCCACTTTGTACTGTCACTCTTCTGTTTCCCTTGTGTCTCTTTCATTTGTACTCACAGTTTTCAGAATCTAAGGTTTTTAAAAGATTTATTCTGGGGAGGGGCAAGTTTTTTCCTGTCTGGCTAATTCCTTCTGGGTATATCAGATACCTAGACCTAGTCAATTTTGTGCCTAGAACTGGCTAGAAACTTCTGAGAGAGGTAGCACAGGAGAGAAAAGTCCGCTGTCATCAGAGTGGTTTAATAGGCAACACATGCTTAATTAAAATGTAGTAGTTGTTTAAAAATCTATCTAATGTTTTCTATTAAATACTTATCAGCCAATTGCTCCTGTTAAAAACAAAAAAACACAAAAAGAAAAGAGGGGCCCGGGGAACAGAACAGTCCTCCCCTTTGGCCAGCCTTCAAGGGAACTCTGAGACCTGCTGCACGTGCACAGGGACGGTGGGCAGCTCACAGTCCACTTGCCCACAAACACTCTCCTGGCTGCTTTTCAGTCTCTATGGTTTGCTGATCCCCTTCATCCTTCCGTCTGATCTAACTCCACATTGTTCTGAGTGTGGTCTTCACAATCACTATTCCCCAGCTTGGGTCAAAAGAGTCGGGAAGCAGTCACGTCGGATCGTCCAAGTAGCTATGTCCCAGAAGGTTCATCATGTCTCTTAATCCCATCAGGACAGGTGGCTGGCAAAGGACATCCAACCACCAGTAATGACCACAGTCACTCAAGGACGGCTACTCTGCCTAGCACCTCACTTCTATCTGTCCTGTCGTGGCTGAGCCCACATTCTGGGTCTGTGTGAGAGCACAGCACAGTTGGCAGCCGGGTTCAGAACACAGAAAGGAGTCTACTTCCGTTATTAGGGGAACTAATCTTTCTGAGACAGTCCATCTTTCCTTCTCTTCACTTGCACTGCCAAACCCTTCTCATTGACTCATCTACCTGGTAAGAAGGAGAGAGAGGAAGGGGGTGGATGTCAACAGCCCATCCTCCAATGTTAGCACCTATGACCCACACCTACTTCACGATGTCTAATTCTAAAGACCGGCAGCATTTTGTCACGAGTACATTTGGGTAAAATTTTCGTATTCTAATTCAGACCTTTCTGAGACAATTTCCAGGGAGAAATTTTGTAATTACTGCATTTAAGATTGTCACTAGATGTTTTTTCTTCTCTTCTCAGAGTAAAACAAAACGAGGTAACTAAATCCACATGGGAGGAATCACACAAACGTCCAGGACAATGTGCCCACAAGGACACCCCAAATCTTCATGGGGTAAATGTCCCAGTACAGCAATGACACAGGGGACCATCTCATGACAGGCCTGCCGACTTGGAAGCATGGAGTTCTTTTATAGACTTTTATTAAATATACTAATTCACCTACCAAGACATTTAAATATGAAAACAACATTATTTCCAATATTCAACTTAGGGATCCAAGATTCTGAACATGTCATCACCAAAAAAATTTGCAAACCTAAAAAACAAAAAAGGGAAAATAAATTAAACAAGAAAAAAAAAGACTTTCTCAGAAAGGTATTTATGTTTAAAAATTTCAAAACATTCAACATTGATGCTTTTCTCATCTGACATTAGCCCTTAAACTTTAAGAAAAGATACTTTACACATAGCAAAATCAATATGCAACTATAATCACACGTACCACCCATTTATTCAATATCTACTAGGTCAAAACATTTCACCTTAATGAGTCTTTAAAATGGCATTCATTCTTTTTCTTTTCTTTTTTAATTTTGTTGTTGCTTTGTTTTAGACAGGGTCTCCCTAATAGCCCCAGCTGGTCTGGACCTCACTATGTAGACCAGGCTGGCCTTAAACTCACAGAGATCTGTCTGTCTCTGCCTCCTGAGGACTAGGATTGAAAGCATATGCCACAATGCCCCTCTAGAAACGAGAATTTCTACAAGTATAGGCATTGGTAATACCAGTAATTGTTTCTCCTTGAGAATCTCATCCCCCACCAAGACAGAGTCTCACTATGTTGTGCAGGTCAGTCTTGAACTCTTGGACTTAAGCGACCCTCTTGCTTCAGCCTCTCAAGTGTTGGGATTAAAGGAATATACCACTCTGCATGGTGTCCTTAAGACACTGTTAATACAGAAAATGAACTTCATGACCAATCCTTCTCGCATGTGCTTAAGCATGCTACTTAAGACCACGAGCTCAGCGTTCTCATTTCCAAGAGAATGCAAAGCGACGGATCAGGAACTCCCTTAGCACTGCTTTCATCTAAAGTAAAGCAAGGCTGGCCTGGGAGCACAGGCCACCACACAGACAAGAACGCTGCTCTCAGGGGTGACTACAAGGGCCGAGCTCCTTGGATAAGTTTTATCTTGGTGCATGTGAACAATTCTGTCCTCACAAAATATCACATACATGCAGAAAACAGATGTGTTCCCTAAATTTTACGTCACTCTCAACATGTAAGATTAAGGGCTAAGAAAACAGAGAGATGCAGAGAACCACTGTGACAAAAGTGTCTCAAAAGAACATGGAAAAGACAGGACACTGATCAGAAAGGAACGGAACGGAACTTAGAAGACGCCTTCTGTGGCATCCTCTAGGATGGATTAACATTGTTCTCAGCATCTTTGCAATAAGCAAATTCACAATGTAGGCTAAAATGAAGTAAATTTGCAATGCTATTTTAGAAAGTGATCTTATTACATCTAGTACAGGATATGGAGCATAAGAAGCCCTTCTCTGAACTGGTGGCTCAGTATCACTTCTGGATTTGAGCAAAGAACCTTATTCTATGCCCAGAAGTCAAGGCCGGTCCTAAGGCCTGCTTCCAAAATACTTAATGGCCTCAGTCCATCAGAATAAACTGAATGATCAAGAGACACCCGCCTCGTCCCCATGGTTTTACAACAATATTTTTAAAAACCCTTTGAAAATAAGGTATGTAAATATTTTAAACACTTCGAATATCATTAAAGCGGAGTTGACTAATGCATATAAAATAAAGAAAAAAACCCTGATTCTCAAAAGGCAATCTAAGCTTTAAAAAGCAGAGCATACGCAAACACAGTATCAACATTACCACAGGAACAGAGCACTGTCGAGAGTGTTACCTCTGAGTCTAAAATGTTAAGCCTGGATTCCCTTTTGTTTGGGAGCAAGCCCTAGTGGCTTTTAAGGAAAAAACTGTTTCAGTATGTGAACTCCTAAAGGCTCAGGGTTTTCTTGTGGCATGTATTTTGTTGCTATTTAAGTAGTTTCTTTAAAAAAAAAAACAAAAAACTGATTTTTGACCCATATGAAGAGACTGATTTTCACATGGATTTACAATGTTAATGCTATTGTTAAAACATCTGAAGAATTCTAATTACGAATGTCAGTGTGTTAGATGTCCACATCTTAAAAGGGAGGCACTGGGGAGGGTGGGAGGCCTCTCCTACCCTCAGGTTTTGCCATTACCATTCTGTGTGAAGTGGTTTCAGGACGAGGCGACCGCACACTTCTAGCCAGAAATCGGATGACCTCAAAACCACCTCAGTTCAGCTGAGGTCTCATGTCTCTCGCTTAGAGCTAAAAATAAAAATACATGTGAATGAACAAATGATCATGAAATGAAATCTCTAACATGATACTAAAATATAAATTATCAGAAGCCATTTTTATCCCAGAAATATGAAAATGCAGTCACAGATCTGATCTCATGGAAAGATGCCCTCTCTATCCAGTTGACAATGAGATGCTGATAATCCAAGTTCTTGCTACAGAGCCAAAGTAGCATTTTGTTCATTTTCTGAATTATGACACATTTATTTTTATATATTTAAATAAAATCATCACTTACACTAATGAAGTTAAAACAGCAATTTAACTTTTAATGTACTACATATACACACACATATACAAACACATACATACACTCATATATACATATACACACACATATACATACATACACACACAGAGACAGGGAAGAAAGCAAAGAGTAACACTGAGCCAGGACAATGGTCTGACATAGAGAATTCGTTTTCGTGTACTCAGAATTCCTGGTTTTGACAGATGCTAGAAGTTCATGAAAATTAACGTGCTTCTCCAGCTAAAGCCAACATGTGTCCTTTAAGCAATGCAGAATGCTCTGAAGTTCTGGAAGTAACAGACATGGCTCCCGCCAGCTGTGGTGTCAGTTCACACACACACGCACATACGCACACGCACACACGCACACACACGCACACCCCTCTCCCAGGACAGAATCTAGGAAGTAATTAATGGCTGCCCTATGGAAGTAACAGACATGGCTCCCGCCAGCTGTGGTGTCAGTTCACACACACACACACACACGCACACACACACACGCACACCCCTCTCCCAGGACAGAATCTAGGAAGTAATTAATAGCTGCCCTAGTTCTTTCTTTAATCCTTAAGCATTTGCTTACCTAAAAACTCCAAACTTCTCTTCCATCAGCAGAGAGGAGCTTCATCAGTCAGCTCTCTCCAGCTCACAGTAACTCAACCAACAAACTAACTCCAGGTGTGCATTATGTCTGCTTCACAAATCAGTAATCCAAAGACCAGGAAGACTTCCAGAGAATTCGGAGAGAGGGGAGAGGGGAGAGGGGAGGGGGGGAGAGAGAGAGAGAGAGAGAGAGAGAGAGAGCACTGAAGACACCCCAATTGAAACGATGCTGGAAAAGAAAATCTCAATAAAAGAAACAAAACACCTTAGAAGAAACCCTCAACAACAAAACAGATCGTATAGAACACAAAGAACCGGCAGAAGACAAGTTAGAGAAACTGGATCACTTAGCAAAAGTCAACAATAAATTTGAAGGCAAAATAAAAACTATATATATAAAAATGAAAAAAATGTGAGGAAGCTCTGGGACATGATAAAAAGACCCAATGTAGCTCTCCTCCTAGCCTGGGCACTGGCCCATTTATTGTGTTGGCACCCCAGACCTCTGGACTGAACTCTTGGCCCAGACTCCCAACTGCTTCCCAATCCTTTGCATCCAGACCAACCCAATTCCTCCCTGTAGTCCCCAGGAGCCCTGAGGGGCTGTTCCCTCCCCAACCTCCATTCACATTCCTGGGCAGCAAAGCCACCAGCTTCCTGGGGCCATCTTTCCTGGACCCTGGTCCCAGGCCAGCCCAGCCCGTAAATTCCTGAGGCCAACATCTCTCCTGAAGAGATCCAGACTTTAGGAGAAATCTGAGAGCATCTGATCCTCATCCTACTTGGGCCTCTCTGGGAAACGCTGAGCAGGAAGATGAAAGCAATTTGGCCCCTCAAAAATAAAATCAAAAGAGAGAACCTGAAGCCCAGACCAACCAGCTTTTCACACCCAACAAGTAAACCACAAAGCCACATAAAGTTTACAAAAAGAAGCAGACCTAAATTCAACAAAGGAAGACTTGAGTCTCACACAAGAATCAGAAACTACAAAAGAAATCCACATATCAAACTCACATTGAAAAAACAGTAACATGAAAAACCCAAATAATATACCACCAAGTACCAACAGTCCTGTAAAGGAGTACAATAAGAACCCTGTAGAGATAACACAGGACATGGAACTCAAAAGAATAATTATAAACATGATGAAAGAGTTCAACGAATTTAAAGAAATCAAAGAACTGAAAGAAGATAGGGATAAACTTCTGAATGAACTTGAAAGAGAGTTAGAAATATTGAAGAACACTCAGGCTGAAATGAAGAAGGAAGTGAAACACTCAGTAAGCCAATTAGAAACGACAAGAGAAAGCCTCACCAATAGGATGAATGAAATGGAAAACAGAGTATCAAGATTGGAAGATAAAGTGGACGAATTAGACCACTCAAGCAAAGATTATGAAAATTTTAAGAAAACACAAGAATAGAATATGCAGGAATTGTGTGACACCATCAAAAGACCAAACTTGTGAATCATGGGCATACAGGAAGGAGAAGAATCTCAGGATAATGATATGGACCAGATCTTCAACAGGACTGTAGAAGAAAATTTCCCCAAATTAAAAAAAGACATGCCCACACAAATATAAGGAGCATATAGAACACCAAATAGATAGGACCAGAAAAGAAACTCTCCATGGCACATCATAGTAAAAACACTAAACATACAGGACAAAGAGAGAACACTGAAAGCTGCAAAAGAGAAACAAGTCACATACAAAGGAAAACCCAGGAGAATCACAGCTAACTTTTCAGTGCAAACTACGAAAGCCAGAAGAGCCTGGACCGAAGTATTCCCAGTTCTAAGTGACCACAAATGCCAACCCAGATTATGTTACCCAGCCAAAATGTCTATTACAGTTGAAGGGGAAAGAAAAGTCTTCCATGACATAAATAGACTGAAAGAATTCATGTCCACAAAACCAACTCTTCAGAGTTCCTGAAGCAATACAAAGAGCTAAAGAAAGGAACGACTATACCCAAGGGGTTACAGAAAGAAACTTAATGAAGGTATAACTGTGGAAATGCACAACTATATCAAGAATGTGAACAGAAATAAAAATGACAGGATTCAATACATATCTTTCATTAATAACTTTAAATATCAATGACTGAACTCTCCAGTCAAAAGACACAGACTAGTTGAATGGATTAAGAAATAAAAGCCATCTTTTTGTTGTCTGCAAGAAACGTATCTTACTTTCAAGGACAGGCACTACCTTAAGGTGAAAGGATGGAAAAAATATACCAAGTGGACGGTACTAAGAAAAAAGCAGGCATTGCAATTCTAATATCTGACAAAATAGACTTCAAACTAAAACTAATCAGAAGAGACAAAGAGGGCCACTTCATTTTGATCAAAGGAAAAATGAATCAAGAAGATATTACAATCATGAACATATATTCACCAAACTCTGGTGCACCCAACTTCATAAAAACAATACTAGAAGACTTTAAGACCCAGATTGATCCCAAATCATTAATAGTAGGGACTTCAATACTCCATTGTCTCCATTAGATAGGTCAACAGGACAAACAATTAACAGAGAGACATCTGAATTAAACAATACCATACATCAAATGGGCCTAACAGACATCTACCGAATAGTCCACCCAAGCACCAAAGAATATACTTTCTATTCTTTGCCCCATGAAACTTTCTTGAAAACTGACCATATACTGGGGCAAAAAACAAGCCTCAACAAATACAAAAAGATTGAAATAATTCCATGCATTCTATCAGACCACAATGCAATAAAACTTACAATCAACA